AGATATAGTACTATGGTACCCAAGGTCACTCTTCCATGACACATCTGGACTGACCCAGGACCATGCTTTGCTAATCTTCTAGGTCTTTCTTCATCTATTCAGCGGACTTAACTGTGATTAATGGTCTTAACTGTGACTTAACTTACTGTGCTTAATGGTCATAGTAACTTTCATTGTAGGTCTCTTTCACTTTTTTTGTTAAGTGTATTCCAAAATTTTTGTGTTTTTGTTTGTGGTTATTGTGAGTGAAACTGTTTTCATGATCTCTCTCAGCAAATTCATTATTGATGCACAGAAAAGTGAATCATTTTTATGTTAATTTTTGTATCCTGCTACTGTACTGAGTTTATTATTTCTAATAATCTTGTGGAGTCTTTAGGTTTTTCTATGTAGAGAATCATATAATTTGCAAACAGTGATAACTTGATTTCCTCCTTTCCTATCTGTATGCCTTTTATTTTTTTCTCTTGTCTAATTGCTCTGGTCAAAACTTCTAGTACTAAATTATATTCTTTTTTTTTTTCTTTTGTACCAGGGATCAAACTCAGATCTTGTGCTTGCAAAGCAGGTGGCAGAACCACTGAGCTAAATCCCTAGCATTCTAGTATTAAATTAAATAAGAGTTGTTAAGAGTGAACATCCTTTTCTTAATCTTTTAAAAAATATTTTGTTAGTACAAAATTTCAGGACACAATATTTCATTCATTACAGGGAATGGTACATGTAAATAACACATCTTAATTCTTTTTATTTGCCCTCACTCTACTTTCTCTCCCCCAGCCCTCCACTTTTTTTATTCCTCTCTCATTTGCAAAAGCTCTGTATCCCTGTTTCCTTTTATCTATCTTTTATCTTGCTCTCTCAATTATTTATACTCTGGGTTTCTCATATAAGAGAAACAATGACATATTTAGGTTTGTGAGTCTGACTTATTGTGCTTAACATCATGGTCTCAAAGTGCACCCATTTTCCTACAAATGACTCAAGTTCATCTTTTAGAGGAAATGCTTTCAGCATTTTCCCATTTAGTTTGACATTGACTGTGGGTCTGTCTTACATAGCCTTTATTATTTTGAGATACAATCCTACCAAACACAATTTGTTCAAGGCTTTTCTCATGAAGCAATGGTGAATTTTATCAAGTGCTTTTTTGTATCTACTGAGATGATTGTATGATTCTCATCAGTCTGTGGATGTGATGTATTATATTTATTGAGTTGCATGTGTTGAGCCAACCTCATGACAAAGCCAACTTGATTGTAGTGCATGATCTTTTCACTATGCTGTTGCACTCAATTTGCTAGTGTTTTGTTGAGAATTTTCACATCTATGGTCATCAGGGATTTTGTTGTATAATTTTCTCTTTTTCTGCTGTGTCCTTGTCTAGTTTTGTTAACAGGGTAAAGCTGGTGTCATAGAATGAATCGGGGAAGTTTCTCCCTTTCAGTTTTATCAAATAGTCTGAGAAGAACTGGCATCTGTGTTCTTTAAAGTTTGGTAAAATTCAACAATAAAGCCCCCTGGTCTCCTTCTCAAGAAGGGCCCTGGTTCCAGCACCTGGGGTTCCTTGGAGAGGACGTGAATTCCTTCTCCAAACCAAATCCCCTGGATGGATTTCAGCTACTTAACTGAGTGGGCTGCAAGCCTGTGAGGATAGTGGGCCCCCGTACACTGGGGAGGATCCCACGTGACATGGAAGACTGTCCAAGGCTCTCTACTCACCCTCCCTCTGCAGGCCGTGGAGTCAGGGTGCAGATGCTGGGCATTTTATTTTCCTTTCTGTGCTACTGTCCCAATCTCTTGACCACACAAGGTTCTAGCCTCTCTCTTGGTGATTTCCAGAGTTCCCACAGTCGGTCACCTCACCATGTGGCTGCCTATGGTGGCTTTAGTTCACCTCTGTAAGGAGGCCAGGCTGAGCACCTGCACTCAGCTGTTTTTTCCAAACTTTACTCTCGTCATCTACACGGCCAGTTTGTTCCCTGTTTTTATTTTACATACTCAGGGAACATATAAAACCAGTCAAAATATTTAAGAAAAACAGTTCTGCTGTGGCGAATTCCTGTTTATCACCTGCCTTCTGTCAAGAGCTAGTTTTCAGAAAGGTGAAATCCTAAGTCTTGTATACATATAAAATACACATGCAACAGGGACTTTAACTCATGAGTTAATGAGGGTGGGGAAAATAAAATACTTGTTCCAAGATGAGTCTCTGAGAGCTGATAGATTTCTATATAGACAAGAACACTGAACTGAATTTCCCCAGAGATATAAAACTGGGTAATATAATACAATAAAGGGTAATATTTGGAATAATAATTTCTGCATGGTGGAAATCAATTATATCTCTACCAAGCAAACTTAATTTGCATTTCTGGAGATAAGAGTCTACTACTAGTTCCTACATCTTTCAGAATTATAAAGTAGACAAAGCTAGTCCCCTGGAGACTCCGTGTAGATTCAGCTCAATCTCCTAGAGATTCAGCCTTCATCAAAGTGTCTGCTAGGCCACACTCAGTGCTCTTTTGACAGGATAATCAGATATTTGCTTCCATTTGGAGGTCTTTTGCTATCACTCTGACATGCCATTTCTGCTATAAGTAACATCCACTCATTAGGAGCCAAATTGAAACTTCATGAAGAAAATTCAAACAGTTGATTTACAAAATGTCTTTGTTTCATTATGGATTATGTATATATTAAATTCCTATTCAGTGCACACAGCTAGATATTCAGAGTCACACATAGTTTGATTGTCTTTATGGGTGTTAGCTAATGGGTCTCTGTTGCAGTAATTTGTACTTAGCCAGGTGGCCACAGCAGGGGCCTCTCAGGCACATGCAGCTTCTATAAACTCACCAAGTAACCACTTGATTCAGGAGGACTCAGAAGAAACAGGACACCTGTCAGACATTCCAGGGCTGACACTGTCCTGGAAGTGTTCAGAGCCATGAAGTGACAGATAAGTGTGTGGCTTTGACAATGTTTCAAAGTCCAAGCAAAGGCAGAAGCTAATTCCTATGTTGTGACAGCAGCTCTGGGTGAGGCTCTCGGCCTCTCTGCTTTTGATCACCAGAGAGCTGGGAAGGTGCAGGACCAGGCAGGACACACAGACCTGCCCTTGCTGGGTCCTCCCAGAGGAAATGCCAAGCCAGGAGAGAGCTCTTCCTCCTTCCTGTCCCCACCCTGTCTGCTTCCCATGTCTCCTGTCTTCATCCCTTCTCCCTTTGCTCCTCCTCCATGCCTCCCCCTCTGTTCCTCTTTTTCTGTCCCACTTTGACACTCCTTTTTTTCCCTCCCGCCTTACCACCAGCAGCTTTATCTTCTGCCCTTACTAACTCAAGTTGCCCTTCTCTTGGGCATGGCGAAAGCTGCATTTTCCACATAGAGGACATCGTTACCTACTCCTGATGTGTCTGTGTGAAGACAGAGAGGTGCAGCACATAGAAACAGTGGCATTTTAATAAATACTGAGCCACAGCAGTGTTACCTGTGACATTGTTAATCTGTGTCGCTCAGAGTTTAAACTATAAAACCCTAACAAAGAACTTAGGTTTTCCTCTGAGCTATAAATTTTCTTTTTGTCCCCTGAAGGTACCTATAATTAATAACGCTCTTCCTATACCTTGAATTTGCAGGAATCAAACACTGCTGGGGACCAGGAGGGCCTTGGTCTTAATGCAACAGCAGACTCAGTACAGGATGTCACAGCGTGCGCCCCAGCAGGAGGCAGAGGGACCGACCAACCGAAGGAAGGACAGACAGACTTCCTGCTTGGAGTGTTAGGAGAGGAGAGACAAGCAGGACTGCCTGGGAAGAGCCCCGAAGGCCAGGACTCACAGAAGGGGTGCCTGAGGGTGTGAGTCTCAAGGCCTGAGTATCAGGAGGAGGATGTGATTCACAGAGCAAAGCAGAGAGCAGGAGGGATGAGGGAAGGAGGGATGGAGAGGGAGAAGGAGGGGAGGATCCGGGTGGGCTGCAGGTACAGTAGGAGAGGCCAGCCTGTGTGGAAAGCAGTTGGCATCTGTCCTTAGCTGGCTATTAAGCATGGGAACCTCATCAGGAGGACTGCACTGGGGAGGGGCTGCTTGGTGCTGGGAGAGAATGCAGTGGGGTGAGCTGAGAGTTTGGCGAGGAGACCACGGTGTGGTTTTAACACAGTGACGCCACCACGGCCCAGCATCCCCCTTGCACTGGCTTCTGCATGCGCTGCTGTTCAAGGCATGACCCCTACTTCACAGAGCAAAGCGGGGTGAGTCCACACCTCCGGGCACTCAGCCTGTTAAACTCAATGCCCCACAGTCCCCCTTCCTCCTACAGCCACGCTGGCCTCCCGAGGGTGCACTCTGTCCAGCTGCAGAGATCTGGGCTCAGCAGGGCCCTGCTTGGGGTTTAATGCTCTGTTGTTGCCATCTTGAAATTTTAAATTTCCAAATGAGTGGCTTTTCATTATCATCTTTCACTGCACCCCACAAATGATGGGGAGGGTCCTGTTCCTAGCAGTCTACAGGTGGAGCCTTCACACAACTCTTGATGCCTGAGGGCCAAACAGTCTGAGACCCTTGGGAGCTTGTCCAAGATTAACAAAGGAAGGTTACCACGCACTGTCTGAAGTTAGCAGAGAGAGGGTCCCTCCTGAAACCAGGGAGATACTTCTTGGCCCTCCGCAGCTGCTCCACTACAGAACATCTGAACTGTGGCCCAGATACACTGCAGCTTGTGGGGACAGGACTAGGGCATTCTTGACTTTACAGAGGCTTCAGGAAGAAGGTATTTGGGGAAAGGTGAGGCCGCCCATCAGCCCCGGCCTGCTGTCCTGCTTCATCTCAGCTGTGTGACTCTCAGGGTGTTTATTCTCTGCTTCCCAGTGGCCAGTGGACAAGTCTAAATCTCTCATTTCCTCTAGGGAGGCTGGGGAGAGGCATGGGGCACGGAGAGGAGCTTTATTTATTGCTGTCCCCTGTTGCTCCCTCCCCAGCCTCCGCCCCCTCCTGCAGCCTCACTGCCCTCCGGCTTCTTCCTGCAGCCACAGGCACAGGCAGGCGGTAGCTCATCTCTTCTCTGGAGCTGTGGAGCGGGATCGGGACCAACCCTCCTGTTCTCCTCACCTCTGAGCTGAGCTGTGTAGTCGAATGAGAGCTACTGAGACTCACCTCACCTAGAAAACTGGGGAGATCTGCAGTGCGGAGTTAAATCCTGGAGCTGGAAAGCCACTGGAGAGCCAGGTAGGCTTTGCTTTGTCTCCTCGCATGGGGATAAAGCAGCTCTGATGTCCACGCAAGGGTCCATACTGCACTTCTATTTGGCAGCATCTTCTCAGCTTGTGGAGATTCACAGAATTGGAAGGCTGTGAGGGAAAAGAGCAAGAGGGAGCTGACACCAGGTGATTTGAATGTTTGTGTCTTTGCATAGAGGATACCAACAGCAGAGTGCATACATAATACACACAGCTTGGGTCTTGTTTTCTTTGGAGGACACATCTCTTCAAAAGTTGTATCTTTTGGCTTCTGCAGGAGGGAAACGAGTTTGCCAAATGCTTTTTCTTTGCAAAAATGCAGACTTCTTCCATGACTCTTGTTTATTCCTTTCTGAGTTCTTTAATGAATGATGTATTAAAGTTGACAGAGGACTTGCTAACAGAGCTAGAGGTAAGTGCTTCTAACGTCGGATACCTGTGGGTGGCAAGTGAATGAGAATGAGCACTTTGTGCAGGGTTCTGGTGAAATTCCATGTTATTTTCCAGAATTTTCTATGGAGCAATTGTGCTTTCTGAGTTTTCCCAAGATTAAATTCAAGTAGTGACAGTGTACACCAAGGATGGCCAAGAAGGCTGATCCCACATACTCGTACTCTGTGGTAGAAATCGCCTGCAGGAATGAGGTGATTTTTGTCTGGTTGTTGGTTGTTGGTCACTGTTGGGTTCAAGATGAGGAATGAACTGGAACCCAGAGAAGGGTCAAGCCTTCTTCAATAGCACTGCAGATTTCTCTGGATTTTTTTTTTCCTCTTTCACATTTATTGTTCCATTTTACCCTTAGCCAATATTTCCTCTGGGAGAAGAATTTCATGCTAACCTCAGAAATCAGTCCATTTATGTCTATTTATTGAGCATACACTCTTCTCTCCTGGCTTGTTTCGTTGAGATGCTCATAATTTCTTGCTACTCACATATTTTACTTCAAGGTGGTCCCCTCCACCCGCTCCATGTCCCTTACAGGGTTCCTGGGAAACACGGTTCCCCTTGTGTCCTTATGTGTCAATGGCACCTGCTGCTCACAGCTGTGCTACCTGCAAATGTGGTCAGGCAATGGTCACAGTAGGTGTCCCTCGGGAACTGGTTCAAGATGAAAACCCCATCCCTTCCCCGGACTAGTGCATCTGCACTTTATCCTGGTGCCTGGGGTCCCATGCCTGATACCCTTAGAGAAGCTCTGACTGAAGAAGGTGGACGAGGCTGCCCAGGTTGGCCCGTGTCACCTGCATGCCTCAGTGCCTGTGCCTGTGCTGCTCCACCACCCAGACACCCCCGTTCCCTTCTCCACCCCATTACCCATTACAGCCTGATCTGTCCTCCTGGTGTTTATCCAGTCTACCTGCCACTAAGCACCCTGAGGTCTTATGGCACCTGGCACAGGTCTGCCGTGGGAGCCCCTGGCACAATCGATGATGGTTGCTACCTCCATTCCCACCCTGGAGCCATCACTGGTCTTTGGTTGACAAATCCATAGTCCTTCAAGATGCCTGGCATTTAGCTTAAGCTCTGTGTGTGTTGAATTCACGAATGAATTTGTTCAGTGAAGAAATTAACGTGTACATTGGGTGAAGAAGTTGGAGTCGTTATCAGACTGAGATCTAGAGCTTGAAGCTTTCCATAGTATTCTCCCCATGCGCTTTTATTCCCCCGTGAGACTTTGCCGGACTTAGCTATTTACGGAGTATGGAGTATTTTGAGTCCCCACACTTCCACGCCTCTGAGAACCTGTGACACCCCTGTTGCAGGTGCTTCTCCATCAGGTCGGGGGGCCCCTTCCTCACCATGCAGCTCAGGCTGAGCTCTTCAGCCCCTCCCACATCAGCCCTTTTGCTATGCACCAGGCCTGGCATGCAGAGATGAACCCGGCCTCCACGATGACGTCCCAGATTGAGGGCTTTTGGCACCTCAGTCCCACTGCTCCCTACAAAACCATGAAGAAAAGTTAAAGGGGCTGACTGCTGACAAACGCTAGCACCAGGGGTCGGAGGGGAAGCGGAATGAGGCTGCCCTGAGCCCTGCGGCTCCGAGTTCACTCCTTACCTGTAGCTCCTGCCAGGAGGCTCTGGGTGCATCCCCAGCCTTCTCAGCCTCAGTTTCTCCAGTGGTAGACAAGACAGGGAACTGCAGGGAAGGGAAGCCCTTGACTTCCCAGAGGGCACAGAGGAGCCCAGGCCCCAGGAGCTCCATGGTGACCAGCAGGGAGGGCGATGCTCTGCTCAGAGCACAGACAGTGAGGAGCTCAGTGTCTTCGAGATGCCACGGACCCAGCTATGGAGGTCAGCATGGTCCTCTGGTGCCTTCTTCCCAGACCTCAAGTGGCGACGACTCCCAGGCTCAGTCCCCTGAAGCCTGGAGGAATCCACTGGGTACTCGCTGCAGGTGTGGCTGGCTTTCTGTGGGGCTGGGCCACCCTGCAGCAACCTCTGTTCTTTGAAAGCAGCCAGGAGATGGCAGGGAAGCAGCTCTGCCCAGTGTTCAGGGAAATCCAGGAGCCACAGACATTACCCGTCCCCACCTGGCTCCTGCGGTGGCAAGGACTCCCTTTCTGCTACATGTAGGGTTTTCCTTCCTGTCCTACACACTGCTGTTTCCCAGGTTTTATTTCAGATCCTTCGTTGAGCCAGGTGGATCTCATTCGCTGCTCCTATAAGGTGTGAGCAGGGCTAGGAGGAAACTCATGCTTCCCAGCTGTTCCCCAGGCTATGACGGCACTGCACGCTCAGGTGACTCAAGGGACCACGCTTGCTCCCTTCCACCCTCTCCTCCTGCTGCCCCATCACCTGGAGCTTCCGATGCAACACCACCCAGGTGCCCAGAATCCTTTCTTTCTTCCTGTTGTTCCTCCGCCTCTTCACCTTCAGGCTTCCTGCATGCCCACCTGGGCCATCATGGCCCTGCAGAAGCAGTTTGCTAGTGGTCATTCCTTAGCTGGTCAAGTCAACTTTGATCTCCTGTAACAAGGGCAGCTGTAACAGTGGCATTAACCAGCATGGAGGGCACGGTCTGGTGGATTGCCGCAGGTCTCCAGCTGGATCTGCGACTATACTGAGGCATTTGCAATCAACTCTTCTTTTTGAACTGGAGGCATGTGGTGGGCTAGAAAGAGGCAGACCTACTTTTAAACTTCCTGTTTGCTACTTCTTTAAGTAAGTAATTGTGTCTTGCTAAATCTTCATTTTCTTTCTGGAAAGGTGTGCAAATGCTTGGCACACAAAGTGTAGAAAAGATTCATTAAGCAGAAGTGCCTAATATGTTGTTTTAAGAAATAACCAGATCTTTCCAGGAATGGTGCTGCACACCTGTAATCCTAGTAGTCTGGGAGGCTGAGGCAGGGAGATCTCAACCTGGATCTGACCTGGGCAACTTAGGGGGACCCTGCCTCAAAATTTTTAAAAAAGGGCTGGGGATGTAGTTCAGTGTAAAGGCTCTGGGTTCGATCCCCAGTATTAAAAAGAAAGAAAGAAAATGAAAATAAATATATCAATCTTTTTTTTAAAAAAGAAGAGGATGGTCAAGGTGGTGAAAATGAGAAAATTATCACTCACAGAATAGCTGAAGGGACATTCAGAGGACATATGGAGGAAGAAGTGAGCCTTGTAGCACATGAAGGGTGCTTCTAAACATTTAAAGGTTGTCCTGTGTGGGAAAGGGGAGAGCCATCAGACCGAGTGGAAATTATAGGGTCATGGATTCCAAGTCAGTGTTTGGAAGGATTTACCCACCACCAGAATTGTCTACAAGTGGTGAACTTGCGGTATGGGGGACACCCTGTCCCTGGCACAGCTCCAGTGCCCTGGAAGACCAGTGGCCTGGGTGTTCCCAAAGGGATGCCTGCGCTGGGTGGGGTCTGCATGATGACCTGAAAAGTCCTTTCCCGCTCCCAAGACTCATGATGTCAGTGCGATAATCCAAGCCCCACCCCCACCCCCCGCCACGTCACCAGGCTAAGTGACAAGAGTAGATTCTTAGTAGCCAGTCCTACATTCTGCCACACTGATTTTAAAATAGGATCTTTGCAACAATAGAGTAGGTTGGACTTCCAGGAAAAAGCCAGAAATGGGAACAATAAGGAGGACAAAGTTCACTCCAAACTGCTCTTCTTGGGTCACCCTGAACTGGATTGTGGTTAGTCCCTGTGCCGCAAACACATTCCTATTTGATGGAAAACTGCCACACTTTGGTAAATGCTCAGCCAAACCAGGGTCAGGCAAAAATCAATCGGTCTCAGAGCTTTGTGCCTGATTTCTTCTCTGCCTTTGGAGGGATGGTGGATTCGTGTTCTTAACCACTGAGAAATCTAAATTGAAAAGTGAATTAAATGGTCCAACCATCCTCTAATGTCAAGGTCCCGGAGTGCAAAACTCACTTCCGGGACAGGTGGCCGCTGCCTGCCTGAGTCAGGTCCTCAGCCTCTGTCTTTCACCCACCTTCCCTTCTCCACTAAAAGAACCTCGGTCACTTAGCCTCTATGCAGCTGAGGACCCGGACGCCTACTCCCAGAAGTCAGGAGTTAGCTTGGGCAGCCCGGCGTTCCTGGGTCCTGGGTCTTGGGCCCTGCATGGTCCAGGAGAGCTGGCTGCTCTTGCAGTTCGGGTGCTCTTCTCTTCTGCAGACAATGGGCATTTTTCCAGCATAGCTTTCTTCCTTCCACCTCGCTGTGAGATGTTGGGCTAGAAGCAGTACCCTTTCAGCATATCATGGAATGTTTTATTCTCCAGGCTTACCTAGGCTTGCTTTCTCAAAAACAACAATGCAAAAAAATCCTTTTGAAATATACTCAACTGCACAGGGCAAAATCAGAGAAGCCCTTGCAGCCCAGAGTGCTTATTTTTAGATGCGCCTCGACCAGCCCGGCATAGCAGAACAGCTGTCTAATGTCCAGAGCGACCCTGGGAATTTCCTCTAACAAGGCTGCGCTTCCGCCCATTGTTGTAGCACAAAGGACTCAGGGAGGCCCTGCTGGAGATGGCT